TAGCTACAAAAAATAGGTGAAATCAACATTATTAAATCCCTTTATATGAATGGTATATGTGGAAGCACAATTGATTTTATAAACAATAATATTGAAACCATAAAACTTCAGAAACAGGTTTTCTGGATGACAATTTTAGTTTATCTGGTCCCTATAACTAGCCATATATGTAGAAATTGATAATCTACTCTACATCTAGTTCCTCTGGGAGTGTAGTATGGGCCTGGGTAGCTAGTACTGGAGACCAATGTGGACTTGGGTAGCCATTATTAGGGGCCATGTGGTGCTTGTATTGATTATATGTATGATGCAATTAATTGATTGATTTTAATTATTCATTACTGTAAATGTAATAAGTGTGTGTGTGTGTGTGTTTGTGTTTCGACCTAACCCCCGGGCTATGTCTCAGGACCCAGCTACCATAACCGTAGCCTAGCGCTGGGCTTGCACCTCGATTGAAAGTACTGGCATCTTCAAAGCTCAACACATCCATTGACTTAAGAGTCGAAATTAACAGAGTATGGGGTTTCCCTTCTATTTGAAAATGCTTACTGGGCAAGGGACAGACAGTCTGGCCTTGAGAACCAGAAATGGCGGGTTAAAGATCTTTTATGGGGGCCCAACTCTCCCCACACTGTCTGAGCCTCACTCAGCTATTGGTTTAACTGATGAGGTGTTTATGTAACTGAACTCTATGTTAACTACTGCTATGAACACAGATATGGTTTATGTTACATATAAAGGACACTGTATGCTACATGTACTTTGTTTATACAGTTAATTTTTGATTATAAATTGTTTTAAAATACATGACTTACAGGGAATGCTGTCTTTATTTACTGCCATCACACAATTAGATGCTGCCATGCTTGTTTAATTGGTACTTAAATATTCATGTACATGTAGGTGGGTATTAAATCATTAATTAATTTTTGTGTGTGTGTGTCTGTGTGTGTGTGTGTCTGTGTCTGTGTGTGTATGTCTGTGTGTGTCTGTGTGTGTCTGTGTGTGTGTGCTGGGGATTTTCCCTCAAGCCAACTGCCTGTGCCTGTGGAGTTGTTGCTGGAATTATTGCAGCTTACGCAGCTAGAGAAGATACGTAAGATGAAAACTTTTGTTGTATTGACTTGATGTATTCATTCATTTAATGTTAGGCCTAGTTCTAGGCTTTTGAGTGCTCAAGAGGAAGAACGTGAAGTTGAAGAGGAGGAGGAAGACAATGAACGAGAATCTGGGAGCCGAACTGGATGTCCTTCATTGTCGATTGACATAATGACATTTATGAAGTAGAGTTTCTGAGTGCACTGGGTTTCTGTTGGACTGACATAGTCCTAATTTGGCATCAGCCCATCCGCTCTTTACAGAAAAGTTCGATTGTCTAGACTAAGTTTTGATATTTATACGCAACTTAATGATGGTGAATTAGATGATACTATTTCCCATATTAAGGCTGATCACCCAGATGCTGGAGAAGTAATGATTAATGGTCATTTGCGGTCAAAAGGCATACGTATACCACGTAGTCGAATTCGTGCATCAATCCACAGGCTTGATCCCTTTGTTCGTGACAGATTAAACTCAGCGATTAGGTGCTGTCCATATCATGTTCCCGGTCCAAACTATGTCTGGCACATTGACGGTAATCATGAG